GTTGTACCTGAGCTACCGTAAAGATATAACCACATAGTAAGATTGCAGTTTATGAACATTTGGGAGGATGATAAGAGATTCAAGTTATATAAAAGAGTTAGGAAGGATCCAGCTAAACGGTGGAAGAAGATAGCCCAGAGGGATGATGGAGTTAGCTACTCCCACCCGAGAGCACTGCGCATGCTCATGGTCTCAGGCTACTGCCCGGACCCCTGCTGAAAGGCTTTTAAAGGGGAAAAACAACAACAACAACAACAACAACAAATGAGCAAGGCAAGGTAGAAATACTGGCAGAGGAGATGAAAAACCCAAATTAGATGGCTGACTCAGATGTGACAGTGAACAGCATTTAAATTTGCCTTTTCTAAAAACCCACTGGAAGGTGAAGACAGGGACGAGCCTGTGACAGTAATTTTACTGTAAAGTGATCAGTGCCTGGGGACTACATTTACTACGGGGAATGACAGAAAAAGAAGATGAATCCTGGAGTTATTTATATCCTCCCTCATCTTGGCCTGCCCCTTTACGAACAGAAAGAGAAACAGAGGCACCAAGTTATTAAGATTTGCTCCATGGCATAGGCAGTAGCACAAGAATTCGGGTGTGTCGTTTCCATACCGAGTGTATGCCCATCAAATCCTCGCACGTGCCTTTCTTAGAACATATAACACAGTTTAAGATGGAAGTAGGGCCTGCCTAACAGGATCTAAGAAAAGCAATGCCCCACCTTCGTACAGTGCTTTAGAATAGACAAAGGGTTTTCACATACTGCAGTTGTCTGTAAGGCTTGCAATAACTGGAACCAACTATTTTATTTTCCCATGAGGAGACGCCTGGTGCTCGGTTTCTGTTTCCCAGAGATCTGGTTCTGTAACCCTGTTAGTGTCATTGAGATTTCTACTGCCCTCCAAGGTCAAACATTTGCCCATCAAAGAAGTAGACAGTCATTTTAGTGGGTTTATTGCTATTTTGTCTGTTCTGTATTCTCCACAGTACTTCCATAAGATCCTCGGGGGGAAAAAGGAGGCAAGCAAATAAAGAACTCCTGAAATTATTGACCAGAGATAATCTTCAAACCTTCAACCAAAAATATCCCCTTAAGTCTTCTTAAAACTTAACAATACTAAACAAAAAACAACTTAACAATGTTGTTGTTGTTAAGTGCTGATGAGTCGGTTTCAACCAATAGTGACCCTGTATAGGGTTTACTAGGAGTGCCTGGTGAGCTTGAACCACCAACCTTGCAGTTCAAACCGACTTTGCAGTCCTGTGCATTAACCCACAGCGCCACAGCAGGACTTCAAACAAAACAATAGTTGAGTGTAACTAACAAGAAAAATGTCTGCTTTCAGCATTATGCTCATTTAAGAACTATCTATATGGGATCAATGTCACATTGTCCGGAGAGAACAGTCGCTGAAGAAGGATGT